TCATTGAAAATGTTACTGGAGCACAGAATTGTGTGCTAATTTGCCAACCCCACCTCCCCCATTTACCTCTAGCTCAGCAACTTGCTTCGTTGCCCACGTTTTTCGACACAGGGCTTTGGGTTGACAGACAGGCCCCTGCAGGGGCCTCTTCCAAGATCAGCCTCCAACCGCTCAATGGCCAATTTGACCCTGAGGGCGAGGTGTTAGCAAATTAGCACGGCAAAGTGTGCGCACCATTAAGCAGGCGTAGATAGAGTCTGATACACCGACCCATTACCCAGAGGCACCCTGCTGGTCACTCTCCAGTTGAAACATTTATTCTGCTCTTACCTCATACTGCCATCTAATGGTGCTCCAGAGTCACTGCATCTCCAACATCGAACACCAAAACATAGAATATAGTGGCCACTGATTCACTGACTGCCCATTCTTTCGGTCTGGATTTGGCCTCTGGGACCACAAACTAGTCAGACTCTTCCTCCCACCAGCAGGCTGGGACCAGAACCAGCCTCATCTCACCATGGTACCAAAATGGATAAGAGCAGATTGGGTGAGTCATTTGCATAGATCTCTTGTGCCCTGCTTATAACCAATGAGACACTGAGGGCCAAGGCATGGTTCCAATCAAGTGTCTGTGTTAGATCAAAGAGGAGTATTTGCTGAAGCAGCGTATCAGTGAGTTACCGTTCCTTTGAGGGAGGAAGCAGCACACTTCTGATGCAGCATCTGGCCAGCAGACATCCTGCATGCACAATATTACACACAAGAGATGCAAACATCTGGACAACCTTATGTTTCTATAACTCAAAAAACAACAGATACCACAGAAATATAGCCTCCAGTCCCAGCAGGCTGAGGTGGGTCTGTCGTTAAGGGCCCAAATGTGATTTCAGCATCTGTGGCTTCCTTATTTAATGGGTAACTAAGCATGAGTGTAGGATTCGCATTGGTGGAATGAAGTCATGTGATAAGCACATTCCTTCACTGCATTTGTGCCTTAATACTAACACATTAGAGTAGGTTCTGTTTGGTCTCACAACCCCAGAACACACACGTGGACCCCTTTGCATGACTCCCCCTGCCTTCTGTAGCCCCGCCCAAACTGTTCTAATTTCCTGCATGTTGCCCCTGGATACAGGCATCCTTCATCTTTCTCCCCCCCCTCCACTTTACACCCATCTCCACTCTCTCCCCCAGCACCATTCCCATTCCCACACCTGTGGTGTAAGGGAATGAATGTTGCTGAATGTTCCTCATAAAACGGACTAAAACTTATTTCTCATTAATATTCATGAGCAGACGGGTATGTCACTTCCTGCCAAGACGATTCTACACATATGGATTGTGATTAGAATCAGTGCCCAGCTGGCGGATGAATTTTAATAAACACCTGTGTTCGCCAGAGCTATCTTGCATTCTCCTACCCAGAAACCATGGGGGGGGGGGGTACAGAAATGGCTCAAGTCTATAAGGACCCATAACATCCACCCAAGACCCAAGTTCTCATCAGAGTAATACAAGACTACTCAGATTTGTCAGACAAGGAGTACTTTGATTTCAGTTCAGCTTCTTGATGCCACTTTACTGTATTTTTGAGGATGTTGGTCCTGAGGTCAAATCAGCGGATTTTCAGTTTTTTATCCCTGTCATATGATGACACTTACGCTAATTTGTAATCCTCTGATTTTCATTGCTTTGGTGTCTTGATCTTGATTTTAAATCAGCTCATTAACACCACGATGCTTTGCATTTATGACATTACTCATGATCTCGTTGCTAAGCAGCACTCTGCTATCATCGACTGATTTTGAATCAGCTGATGTTCATTTCTAGAGTATTCTGCTGCATATGATGTGGCGTGTTTCTGTGATTGCTCCTTGAATCATATCACTCTGTATGTATCTATGTATATTGCATAACCCTTAACAGTGAAAGTAAGTACAACATATCCAGAGGAAATACTGTTATCCTGAAATTATTGTTCTCAGTTTTCACTGGTAGTCATAGCTATTAGCTGGCATCTTTCAGGTTGTACCGTGAGAGTAACAATGAGACTGCTGCTAATGAGAGTTTAATATTAGCATGACGGCTCTTTAAAGCTTTAATAATTTTGTGTGCCTTGTATCTAAGTGACTGTATTCGTGTGGGTGTTTTGTGTGTGTGTGTGTGTGTGTGTGTGTGTGTGCGAGCGGGTTTACCTATCCTTATGGGGACATAATGTCCCCATAACGTGATAAATATCAATTTTTTTCCCTTATGGGGACCGGTTTCCTGGTCCCCATAAGGGAAAACTCTATTTTATAAAAATCGGTGACTGCTATGAAAAAACTAAAAATGCAAAAATTCTTGTATTTTGTTAGGCTACTTATGGTTATGGTTAGGGCAGGGAAGGGGTTAAGGTTGTCATAGTTAGCGTTAGCATTTTTCCCATTGAAATGAATGAGCGGTCCCCATAAGGATATGTTTACCCTACATGTGTGTGTGTGTATGTGTATGTGTATGTGTATCTATGTCTGAGTATGTGTGTCTGTGAGCCTGGTTTTCACACTGCCATGTGGACAATAAGAGGGTCCCTGTCCCTGAGCCACAAGCAGAGTGGAGATCTGGGCTCCATCCCAGCACTTTCGATCTCCAATCGGTCTTTGTCAGTCACGTGTCTGCACTGTCTGCTATGTAACACAATACAACGTCTGAGGAGCAGGACCAGGGGAACAGCTCAGGGGAACCAGACCAGGGGAACCAGACCAGGGGAAGCAGACCAGGGGAAC